TGGGCCTCCTGATCCAATCTGTGGAAGTAAGCACTAGGGCCAGCAGTTGAGCTGCAGTTGGACATGGTGAGGGCATGTGGGAACATGGTGTGGACCATAAGGAAGGCATGGTGGGAGCATCACATGTCAGAGGTATGACCCATGGCTTGGTGTGTGTGGCAGGGTTTTTGCCAAATTTTTCTCTTTACCCTTCTGCAATTAATGGATTATGGAATTATTTATGCTTTCAAGTCTTTTAAGTATTTCGGGCCAATATCCCAAGGCTAACAAATCCAGAGCATGAAGTTTCTGCTAAGGAGGCTTTGGCTGTGGGACCTTTGCTTCCTGAAGCTTCAGTTTCCTCATCTAAAAAAATGAGTCCAGGTCTTTGGCAGGGTTAGGCTATTGAGAGGTGTGAGTGAAATCATGCTCATCCTGCCCTTTAGAAGCCATGAAGGACTTCCACAAAGGCTGCTGTTTTTCACATATTGTTTTATCTTTTACAAAACATCCGTGGGTGCTGGGCAGAGGGTGGGGTGGGCTTCTGGGAGCCTGGGGTGGTGCTGAGAGGGGGAGTGGGTGACAGCTCTTCCTTTCCCCCTGCCTGGGCTCGGCCTGGCCTTCCCCCACCCTCAGCCCAGAGCCGGTTTCTAGGCAACAGAATGGATGCAGGGATGGTTCGGGGGGAGAGAGCTATAAATAGGGAAGGGAGAAAACAAAAATAAAGTTCCAGAGAAAGCTCTGGAGCCACATTACTGGGGGGTGGGGTGGGGAGGTTGGGGGGAGAGATGGACAAATAGTGGGGACACAGGGACAGCCCCCAGCCCTTCATCAGGGAGAGAGGAAGTTTTCAGGTTGGCTGCCCAGCAAGGGTCCTCAGAGTGCTGACACAGGTGGGAAGGGGGTCTCTGTGTGCACAGCTGAACAGGGTGGGGGCGATGAAGAGAAATCACCTCCCTTCAGAGGAGAGGGGAAAGTTTAGAAGAGGGAAGGATTTCAACAGGCAGAGGTAGGGGCAGCTGTCTATGTGGAGGAAAGAGTGAAGGCAGAGGAAGACAAAGAATGGGTCAGGCGAGGTGGGACTGGGTCCATGCATCTCAGGAGGCCTGGCCGGGCTCAGCCTCACTGACTCCCACCCCCACCCCCGCCAGTACACGCAGACACACAGAGGGGTGGGCTCTTCCTCCATCTGCGCTGCTTGCTCTCCCCCAGATCTGCCCATGCCATTCTCTTCATCCAGGTTTCAGCTCCAGCCTCACCTCCTCAGACACCTGACCTGGCCATCTTATTTTAATGCTGCACACCACCCCCTCCCTGCCACATCTACATATCGCTCCATTTCGGGTTCTTTACAAAACTCCAAATTATCTTGTTCCATGTATTTGTTGATCATTTTGTGATAGCTGGAAGGTGAGCAGCGACCTGCAGGGCTGTTGCCTGCAGCCCCTCACTTTTAAGGACAGAGAAGGTGTGTATCATACACTGTTGGATGACACGATGAACACACACAACACATGAGGACATCTGTGTACACACGTGAACACACAGACACAGCACACCTCATGCCCATACCACATAAGTATGTGTGCATACAGCTGAAACCCAACACTCGCACAGCCTCGTTCCCAGTCTCCATGAAACTGCACAAGGAACTGTACTCTCCACTCTGCTGTGTCCATGGCTCCCTACTATCGGTGGTTTTCATCTCCCCTTAAAGCCAGAGCAAGCCCCTTTTGGAAATTCCAAAGGAGTTGGGCTTCAGGCTGAACATAGTCTTTGCCACTTCCCAGCAATGTGACCTACGGCAGGTGACTGTGCCTCTTCAGCCTCCATTCCCTCATCCATGAGTTGAGGGACTAAGAACAAGGAAGCCTTGAGGACTTCAAGTGAAATTAACGGAGACAAGTGCTATGGGTCAAATGTGTCCCCAAAAGCTCATGTATTGGAAACTTGTTCTCTATTGCAACAGTGTTAAGAGGGTGGGAAATCCAATTAAGGTATTTAAAAGGTGGGGTCTTCAGGAGGTGATGAGATTGTGAGGTCTGTGTCCTTATGAATGGACTGATCCATTGATGGGGTAATGAGTGTGGTTCTGATAGCTTTAAAAGGAGAGTAACTGAGAAGTTTAGCTCTCTTGCTCAGCCCTTTCTTACCATGTGACACCCTAGTCACCTCGGGACCCTGTAGAGAGTTCCCACCCTGCGAAGAACGCCCTCACCACATGTGTGCCCTGGATCTTGGACTTCCTAGCCTCCAATCCTGTAAGAAATAAATTTCACTTCTTTATAAATTACCATGTCAGGTATTTTGTTATAAGCAACAGAAACAGAATAATACAAGTGTCACATGCCTGGGACGATCTAGGCACTTGGGAAATGGTGCTGTCCCTGTCACAGGGAGGAGTCTACAAGCTGTGTGGGCTCATACACACGCACAGTCAGGATTGCTGTCTGACACCGGGCTGGCATCTGCTGCTGAAGCTTCTGGGCTTGTGCCTGGAATGCATTTAAAGTGCTGTGGCAGAAGAGACCATTGGTCTCCAAGCAGAACCATTCTCAGTGGGGCCAGGTGTGGGGATTGGCACCCGGGAAGGAGGAATACATCTCCCCACGGGCCAGATGGTGAACCTGGTTTTGGCATCTAAAAATGGGAATCAGGTGCTGGTAGCTGAATTGGAGGTAGCAAACAAATTCTTTAGAGGCCAGGCAGTTCATGAAAATGAGTGAAGCGGGTGGGCATAATACAATAGGGAGGGAAAGGGACCGTAGCCAATTGTAAAAGGTGTCTCCAGCCCAAAGGTATCCAAATTTTAAAAATTTAAAACCTATGCTACCAAATTAGACATATCAGCCAAATTCGGCCTGAGGGCCACACGTTTCCAATCCCCGCGGATGGTGGGTTGTAAGTAGCGTCAGTTTAGCCAAAAAAGATCTGGAGCTCCTAGCTCCCTCACGTAAGTGACTCAGAGAATCCAAGCTCACAGGTTTGTTCTCCCTACACACACGTCTGCCAGCTGTCCCTGCTTCCGGAAATAAAGGTCCCTACACTGCAGGCCAAGGTGACCTGAGCAGACCTTCAAGGTCTTACCAGGCTTGGCACCACCTCTTGCCCCCGACTCAGGCAAGGAGGAAGCGCAAATACTTGGGGGTTGATTGAATAGAACAAGCTTCTTCCAGCTTTGGGGCTGCAGGGTGAGGCACTGCTTCCGTTCGTAATCTAGGCCAGGCGGAGACACAGAAGCGGGAGGGGTCTCACGCAGGAGAGGCTGGGGGCCTCTGCGGCACAGCGAAGCTTGGCTTCAGCACCGGTGGGGGTGGGGTCTCTGCTGCGAAAGAGGGCAGGGGCACCGCGCGGTGGGGGCAGGGCCTATGTATTGGCGAGGGCGCGGCTAGCGCGCGGAGTGGCTGTGCAGACAAAGGCAGTGTCTTTGCGTGGGGGTGGCCCCGCGCAGAACCCGCAGTATTTCCACTGCCTTTTTCCTCGCTCCGAGGCGGTGTTGGGGGCCCCCTAGTGCCGATCCTGATTAGCTCAAGCCTCCTGGACGGCTTCCCCAATTTCTGAGGATCCTCGCCCATTTCAGCCGAGGCCTCAAATTTTCGCGTACCCTTACCGGAGAGGTGGAACACCGGATGCCGGAGCCCTGTCCCCTTCTGGGACAACTGCCCATTTCCCCTCCCCTTGGAGGGTTTTTTTTTGCGTTGGACATGTGTACTCAGGAGTGTGTGCGTGTCCCCGTCCTGGAATGGGAGAGGTCTGCGCGTCACAGCATCACTCAGCGGCCGCGCTGCTGGTTTCCGAGGGCTCCTCCTCCGCGGCGCGTGTGCAAACTGTGAGAGCGCGCGCGGATCCGCACGTGCGGTGTAGCGTGCGTGCACGCGTGTCTGCACGTGCGCGCCGGCCGGGGTGCGGACACTCGGGTTGGCGCCCAGGGACCAGCGCGCAGGCACGCCTGTCCGCGCGTCCGTGGGCATCCGCGCGCCTGCGCTGTG